AGATACTCGTGGTGGGCATAGCACAGATAGCCCATCGTGTAGCTTTGTACCACAAACAAACAATATCTCTCTTGTATATAAATCCAATTTCCATACTTAAGCTCAGGCCTAAAAGCTTTATTTATATATATATATATTTGACAATCAATTGATAAATACTTTATTTTAATTTTGCAATTGCTGAATCACATGCTTTGTATATTATTATGGCTATAGATAATCACATGATTCTCTTATTCTAAATCACGTTTTATTAGCTTCACTTCTTGTATCTCACCTAATGATCCCAGTTAAACCTGGTGAAAAAATAAACAATAAAACATATAAAACCTTTTCTGATATTCGAGCATCTTGTGACAATCCTTCAGATTCCTCTAAACAAGTACTAAACTAATTAACCTTCTTTCAGAAGTTCGTGCGTGCTATTGCATTACTAGATTATACTCACTTATAAAGGATAAACAATGATTATAATAAGATTAAAGTTAGTCAGAATTAACCGTTCCACAATGAAGTATATTATAGAGTATTGAACTCAGTAAGTTGACTCGCAGAGAAAGGAAAAGACGAAAATGTATCGAACGAACATTTAACCCAACAACAAAATTGTGAACGCTTGGTAACCGCACAAGTCGAGATAGTACACGGAAAAGTATTATTATTTTTATTTAGTAGCAAGGTGTTTCACATGAATCTGTTTTTAGAAGTATTTCTATATTTGTCTTTTCGGAAAACTAAAAGTGATTCTGAGTGTATTTTGTGTTTTGTTTCTTACTTCATTCATCGCTAAAACGAGCTTTGTTTTTAATTCTGTTCTTTTGTTGCCAAGTCTATAATGGCAGAATTTCCAAATGGTTAACTCGTTATTTTTTCAGCATTTTTTCTAAGTATTGTATTAACACTTTATATTTTGGTAAATGCATTTGTTAGTTTTTGCTGCAGGAAAATAAAAGACAGGTTGCTTTAAAATTCATTACTTTATTGCACAATTAATGTTTCATTGTACTGCAGCTGTACTGAGCCAAAATCCAATTGAAAATGAACAGTTGCATACTCGTATAATGAACGACACGTGAAATATTAATTTGTTGTACTTTGTGTATAGTCTGTTTGTAATTAAGCGCAAAGCTACACAATGGGCTGTCTGTATCGAAACCCGATTTCTAGAGTTGTTACAACTGGAGGGCATATGTATTGTCTGAATAACATTTATAGAGAAAATAATTCATTAAAAGACTATTGAATATATTCTGTATAAAAATAATTTATTTCAGTGTAGTAAATATAACTTTCTAAAAACGAAGGATGAATAACAGGAAAGGAAAATAAATATTTTACTTTAGAAGCCTCCATTTTGTGTCTCCCTGTGGGGCGGCGGTGAATTTACAACGCTAAAACAGGAGTTCGGTTTCCCACGGTGGACAGAGCGTAGAGTTTGCAATTTTTCGCTGAAAACTAAACAACCATATTTTGTTCTTTCATAGTTTATCATTTCTAGGCTTGGCCAGGTGGTTAGTACGCTCGCCTCCCAATCTGAGGGTCGCGGGTTCGAATCCCCATCACACCAAACATGCTCGCCCTTTCAGCTGTGGGGGCGTTATTATGTGACGGTCAATCCCACTATTCGTTGGTAAGAGTAGCTCAAGAGTTGGCGATGGGTGGTGATGACTAGCTGCCTTCCCTCTAGTCTTATACTGCTAAATAAGGGACGGCTAGCGCATATAGCCCTCGTGTAACTTTGCGCGAAATTCAAAACAAATAAACATCATTTCTAAAGTTTATGAGTTATAGGAGGCTTCGCATTTTACAAGAACACAATTAAACGAAATTCCAAGATTGTATTTCATTTTTTATATCTGCTACGTTGTGATGTAGTGCTTAATGCTGATTTGGCAATATCTTCTTATGATTGAACAGCATAATTTACTATTTTCAAACTAACGATAGAATGATCTGAATAAAAGGAATTATTTGTCTGAACAAAAATGTCGAAAAATTATTAATTTTTTACTTAAAATGGTGTTTATTGTGTTAAATTCGTGTCAGTTATGTTTCTATTATTACTACGAAGCTATTTCATTTATGTTAACATTACGTTTGAGCCAAGATTTTTATGCTCTAGGATTATATTATATTTGTTAATACTGCCTAAAACTAGGGGTTAATAGATGTTTGTGTATTGATTTGTTTATTTGTCAATGATTAAAGAATATTTGTTGACTTTCAGGTTTTTCTTGGAAGTCCATCGGAAGGTGCGCTCCAGCGAGGTGACGTAGTTTTGAGAATTAACGATCGAGAAGCCAATAGGATAACTCACCAGGAAGCCCATGACGTTATTGTCAGTTCAAACAAAAATTTGGCACTTGTTGTTCACAGGTAAATCAACGTTACTTTAGCCGAAAGTGTCACGTTATCAGTTAAATTTAACTGGATCATTGTAGAGCATCTTTGCCTCGAATCTAAGTTTCGCAAAACTATCTATTAATGAAACACTCGCATAGCGTCAGTTACCCGCACTCGAGTGTCTATTTAAGTTGTTCACGGGAGTTGGGAGAGCCACAGTGAGGCATAGCGTTCTTTATTTAACTTGTGCGTAAATAGCGGCTCTCTTTATTTGTCAATTAATTCAAGTAAAAGTTCCCGAAAGATTCGTGTTTGTGATATCAAAAAATATAAGTTTATTTTTGGGAAAGGTGGTTAACTTCAACACCTCTGGCTGAATAAAAAGGCGAGATTTTGGATCTGGTAAGTCTAGTACAACTGGACTTTATATTTCTTTTAAAATTTGACATTAACTTTTATCATTATTAATGTTAAGTAGAATAGTTAATAAAAACATTTGCTTCCCGCTGCAATAGATAAATTAGCACAACTAAATGTTTGAATTGACGTTTTGGAGTATATGGGTATACTAGTACTACTACTTTGCTTGTTCATTCCTTTAAAAATAAAGCTGAAAAACTTTTTCAAAAGCTTGTTAGTTTCTAGTGCGGATCATAGACGACGGAGTAAGTAATGACGATGGAGTTGTTTAAAAAAAGAAATAAATATGGTTAATTGATCTATGAAATGTTATGCTCATTAATTATCAGATTAAATTAGAATAAAGATAATTTTAAATAATGTTAAAACTAGAATTTATTTATGTTTATAAATAAAATGGGCTATTTGCGCTGTGCCCTTCGCAGTTATTGAAACCAGATTTTTAGCATTATAAGCCCTCAGACTTACCGCTGATTACCGGGGGAGGGGTAGAGGTTAGCACTAAATATGATTTTTGTATAACATTTATGATCGTGACTAACCTACAATATTGGGTCAAAGCAAAAGAATATAGTACACGTTTTTGATCTGAATTAGTACAAATAAAACCCAAACAGGGTCCATAACATTAACAGGTACATGAAAAATACTATATTTTTACAATAAAATATCAAATTGAACTGAGAGGCTATACTAAGACAATTTTGAAAGCAATCAGATATTTTTTAAATTAAAGAAATAAAGAGAGAAAATGCTAAAATCTGTTTGTAAGACATTTCGTAAGGATTGTGGCTGCCTATGATGAACTGGAGTTAACTATTTTTTAATTAGAAATTATTGAGTCAAATTTATTAAAATTATCTCTAATATCCCCCAAGGATATTTGCAGCTTATAAAGTCCGTTTCATCAATTACAAACTTACCGTTTTCCTTTGTATGTCCCAATTGGTTTGCAATTACAATTAGTGTTGAAGTTCGTAAGTGGCTATGGGAGCCATGATTAGTTCACTCGGTTTACTAATACCTAAAGAATAGCTCTTTTCAGTATTCTTTATGAATGTTTTACGAAGCTCCACATCACTCGCCCGTGTACAAATTTAAAAAGACTATTTCGTTTAGTGTGAATTGGAATGCACTTTTATCGTCAACTAGAGGAATGTCAGAAAATAGCTACTTTCTTTAAAACAGACACTCCATAACTTTATGGGAATTATATATATTTTAATTGTTCAGAAGAAATATATAAGCTTGAAACATTTCCGTAAAAAATTAACAAAGTTAGTCTTCTAATTCTGATATAACAGAAATTAGTTATGTTAAATATTATACACTCTTAGATTTAATTCGGTTTCAAACATGTGAATCTTAGGTTTTTTACCTTTTCTTATTTTGATAACTTGTAATATATTCTTTAAAACATTTTGAACTAAAAATGATGCTGTTAATAACTTTTTTAGAAATTTTACTATCACACTTTTAATTTTATGTATAATTCAATAAATAATTTAATTTTGTTGAAGAGAAAACCTGAATCAGGAAAATATAGATTTATTTTTAATACAGTATGGTAAAAAACAATCTTAACGTCATCTTATTTTCTCCAAAAAAGATGCATCAGGACTCTTGGGAAAATAAAAGTAGATTTTTATAACATCGAACATTTAGCCTTGTTACAACTGTGAAGGCCCGGCATGGCCAGGTGGTTACACCAAACATGCTCGCCCTTTCAGCCGTGGGGGCATTATAATGTGACAGTCAATCCCACTATTCGTTGGTAAAAGAGTAACCCAAAAGTTGGTGGTGGGTGGTGATGACTAGCAGCTTTCCCTCT